ACTTTTCAATGGCCAAACGTTTGCATTCTCGGGTCAGTATTCTCTTACCCTATAATTTGAAACATTTAATCCTGGTAGGGCTACGCTGGTAGTGCGTCAAATCGCCAGTTTCCGTAGACTATAATTAAAAATGGCGTCATCGTACATACCCTAAAATTAGCTATCCCACCGACGGACCGTTTTCATCGTGGTCGGATAGTTGGTAACGTGAATGTGAAATGGCATCCAAGTCACGCAACAGATTCTTCAAAATACGCAATCAGTGATTGCAGTATGATGCGTCATGTTGAGTGCAGCAAATTGTTAATCATCATGAACCTACCAGTATAACATTTTAATAGTCTCCAGCGGCTAAAATCACGTTTTGTCCAATCAGATTATTGGTCGCTCCTTGAGAAGAGGTGGCCTTTGTTGTGGTACCCTCGTGATAAAATCCCTAGCCTCCTCCCTCCCCTCGCCCCGGAGGCGAGAGCAGGTGGCTAGAATCCTCAGAGTAAGCTGTATGGATCTTCAACACGGGCAGTGGAGCTTTACAAATAGCTCTCCCGTACAATTTTAAATATATTTGAAATGACAGTTATCCTGCTTGTTTTCAGAGTATATTTTGTGTCTTTTACTTGTTTTGGCGGGTAGAGGGTTTATTCGGGTGTAATTAGATCCATAAAATGGCTGTCAGCATTTAGTGCAAGGATTTCGAACTCTTCCCCTACACCGCTGACCAACGTGTTAGATCCGATCGGCGGAGATACGCCTGCTTTCAGCCGGAATGGCGGCCAAGAAACTGCCAAACGTCTTCATGCCCCTCTTACTCGGGCTTGGTTAGCTTGTTCCGTCCTAAAAGCAGGTACGCCATCTTAGTCCTTTAAACTGGCGGAGATTAGGCAACCCATAATTAACATCGAATTAGATGACCATAGTGCATAATTAGGGCTGAGAAGGCAGAATAACTGAAAGGCACAATATTTGTTTCCCGTACAATTCTCAGGTTGATAAGGAGTGTTGGTTTTTGCTAGCGGAGACCAAGCAGATGTCCTCCTCGGGCGATGTGTGTTCCCGTCTGCCAAGCGTCTTGAGCATGCCCAAGGTGGTGTGTGACTTGTTGTGGACCGTCACCAGTCCACATTTGCTCAGCGACGATCGATTTCCTGTTTTACCGGCGGAATTTGGCGTCGAAGCTTTGAAATTCGATGTGGTCATCGACTGGCTGAACGCCCTCGTACAAGACCCAACGCCATTGCTGACGTTCCTGCAAGGTAAACGACAACATTTTTATATGTGGATTGAGGTGATACTTGCACTAATTGACGCAAATACGCTGTATACAGAAACAACGTCGAACGGTCGATCGTTGGCGCTGGTGGCGTTGTACACCTCGCAAAGTGGAAACCAAAGAACGAACAAGTCGTGGTCAAGCGTGTGGCCCCCGAGAAATCCAAAAGTGTCCGCGAACTGCAGCGTTTTACCCGGGAAATCCGTCTGTATGGCAGTTTAAAACACCCCAAGATCGTAACGTTCCGAGGCATCGCCTGGTCCTCCCTGGCTGACTTGTCACTCGTGCTCGAGTACATGCCCAATGGAGATCTGGCGCAGTTTT